TCAAGGAGTGGAATGGAACGGTGAAATTAGGTGATGATGGGGTTTTGGCCATAAAGGGGAGCGAGATAGTGCAGATAAAATTGCATAACAATACTATCAGGAAATTTGACCGTTGTTATGTTTCTGAACTCATAAAGAATTTGATTTCTCTTGGCACCTTAGCCAAGAATGTTTAAAATATCATGGTGAAAGTGACTGCGTGAAAGCTCTAAAAGGTGCTCTGGTGCTAACGAAGGAAAAACTGCAACATCAAATTTATTTTTTACAGGGTAGTTCAGTGATAAGAACGATTACAATACCTCAATCATTGGATAAACATAATGACAGGACAAATCTGTGGCACCATCGATTGGGTCACATGAGTGAGCAGAGGTTGTCTGTGCTGCGCAAGCAGGGTTTACTTGGTGAGAATGTGACAGGTAAAATTCAGTTCTGTCAAGTAAAAGGGAAGCAATGCAGGGTGAGGTTTAGTATAGGTCATCACACTTCAAAAGAAATTATGGAGTATGTTCATTTAGATTTATGGGATGCCTCTCCGGTGAAATCGCAGAGTGGTTGTTCTTACTCTGTCACTTTCATAGATGATTATTCAAGAAAATTTTGATTTTACTTTTTGAAGACTAAATATGAGGTGTTTGGGAAGTTAAAGGATTGGAAGACCATGATTGAGAAACGGATGGGTAAACAGGTCAAGACTCTAATAACTGATAATGGGTTGGAGTTATGCAACGCTCTATTTGATGATTTTTATAAGAAAGAAGGTATAGTGAGGCACCGTATTGTATGACACACACTACAACAAAATGGGGTTGCAGAGCGTATGAACCAAACCTCATGGCGCGTGCTAGATGTATGCGCATATTTGCTGGCTTATCTAAGCAATTATGGGCTGAAGCAATTAATACTACTAGCTATATGGTTAATAGATCTTCATTAACTGAAATTAACTTAAAGACTTCTCAAGAGGTATGGTCCGGTAAACTCTCTTATTACTCTAATCTAAGAATACTTGGATGTCCTGCATACGTTCATGTGAATTATGGTAAGCTGGAGCCGAGGGCGGTAAAATACATATTCTATGCAACATGAGTCAAAGGTTATCGATTTTGGTGTATAAAAGGTAAATCCTAGTAAATTTTTTATTAGCAGAGATGTAACCTTTGATGAATCTACTATGCTTGATCAGAGTAGAGGTTGTGAAAGTATTGTAGATACAAAAGATTGTGGTGCTGACCAGAAGGTGGAGTTTGAGACTCCTGAAAGAGTTGTAATAGAGGAAAAGCAGCAGGATGATAATATTGATCAATCTGATCAACCAGATCAGTCAAAACCTCAAGAGAAACCGGTTGAGAATGGAGCTGGTGACACTGGTCCTGGGGTTGTAGCTTCTATAGCAGCTAGAAAGGGGAAGATAAATATTCAAAAACCAGCTAGGTTTGCAGGATGTGTCAATACCCGTGACATGGATTTTGTGGCTTATGCATTGGCGGTTGGTGATGATCTTGGCTCTGATGATCCAAAGACATATAAAAAAGTTGTGGTGAGTAAAAATGCAGAAAATTAGATTATAGCAATGAATGAAGAGATGCAATCTCTTGAAAAGAAGAAAACTTGGGATCTTGTTACACTACCAAACTGGGTAAAGTCAGTGGGATGCAAGTGGGTCTTTAAAAGAAATGAGGAAATTCCTAGTATTAAACCTACTAGGTTTAAGGTGAGACTGGTGGCAAAAGGGTTCTTGCATAAGGAAAGAATTGATTATCATGTCTTTTCTCCTATAGTGAAATACAAAATCATCCGGGTTCTTTTCGAAATGGTGGGTGCTTTTCATCTAGAGTTGGAACAACTTAGTGTAAAAACAACATTCATTCACGGTAATCTAGAAAAACGGATCTACATGTCTCAACCGGAGGGGTTTGAAAGTTCTAAAAAAGACCAAGTATGTTTGTTAAAGAAATCTTTATATAGCTTGAAGCAGTCTCCGAGGCAGTTGTACAAGAGATTTGATTATTTTATGGTGTCTAATTGTTATACTCGTAAACAGTTTGATTATTGTGTTTACTCGAAGAAAGTTTTTAGTGATTCCTTTGTGTATCTGTTATTGTATGTGGATGATATGTTAATTGCAGCTAAAAACATGGTTGTAATTAATGACTTGAAGAATCTACTAAAGAATGAGTTTGAGATGAAGGATTTTGGTGCGGCAAAGAAAATATTGGGTATGGAGATCTGGCGTGATAGAGGAGCAGGACGGCTATGGGTTTCTCAAGGAAAGTATATTGAGAAAGTTTTGCAAGCATTCTATGTTGATCAGTCCAAACCGGTAATTACTCCTTGGCCGCATACTTTAAATTTGATCGTAGCACTATACCGATTACAGATGAAGATGTTAGCTACATGAAGTGTAGTTGGAAAGTCTTAGTGTGTGATAGTATGTACGAGAACGGATCTCGCTTATGCGATTAGTGCGGTGAACAGGTTTATGGCTAATTCGGGTAAAGCTCACTGGGAGCTGTAAAGTGGATCATGCGATATTTGAAATGAGCATCTGATATTTGTCTGGTATATGATGATAAAGGTCGCGGTGATGGTCTGGTTGGCTATTCAGACTCCGATTACGGGGTGGCTTAGTGAAACGAAAATCAGTGACTTGCTTTATCTTCACTCTGTTTGGATGTGCAATCAGTTGAAAGTCTACTTTACAACCTATAGTTGCACTGTCGACCACTGAGGTGGAATATATGTTAATGACTAAAGGTATTAAAGAGTGAATCTGGTTACATGGTCTGGTGCTGAGTTTGGGTCTGAGGGTGGAAACCGGTGTTATTATGTGATAGTTAGAGTGCTTTGAGTTTGGCTAAAAATCTGGAGTATCACGAAATAACCAAGCATATTGATATAAAGTTGAATTTTATCTGTGATATTATGGAAGAAGACAAGTTTTCTATTCAAAAAATAGTTACATAATACAATCCAACTGATGTGTTGACAAAGGCGTTACCAACAGAGAAGTTCGAACATTGTTTGAACTTGGTGAATATTCGCATGAGGTAAAGCCCCCTCGTGGCATCTGACAGGAAGGAGACGACTGAGAGAAAGATACTGAGGAACCTTTGGCGGTTGGAGAAACTCCAAGTCAATGTGAAGATTGTTGAAACGTGACTTGGATTTATCTGTCCACCTGACCCAGAACAAAAACGAAAAGACTGTATCAATTGGCAGAGTTTCTTTTTGGCGCATCTTAATTAATAACAAATGGGCTTAGGGTTTAGGGTGTTTTTGGGGTACTTATAAATAGATAGCTATGGTTCCTAGGCATATTGTATGATTGTAACCTTCAGAATCAGTATAATAAAATCTCTCTGAATCCTACCCGTGGACATAGATTGACACACCGTCACCAAACCTCATAAAACTTTCGTGTTCTTTATTTGCTTTCTTTTTTGTTTTCTTATAACATATAGTATATATTAGTATGATTTATCTTGTCGAGCCTATGCAGACTATTAAATTTGGTTGAGGGTTTAATCAGAGTGCAGTTGAAGAGTAGCGACTGTGAATTTTCACATCATAAAAAAAAATTATATAGCATATACTTTTCATATAAGAACATCTTAGCATTGGAATGTGTAAAACATGAATATACATTCAATCAATACCATACTATAATGGGTAAACTGTTCTTTTAGTCCCGTAACTGGACCCCTTTATCATTTTAGTCCCGTAAGTGGAGCCTGTCGCAAACTAGTCCCATAAGTGAAAAAATTTCGTTGTTTTAGTTTTCCAGCGCCGGAGATGCCCGTGTGGCTCGCCGGAGGTGACGTGTCCGCCAGGTCAACGACACTTGGCGGACACGTGGATTTATTTTTTTTTTCATTTTTTTATTTTTTTAATTGGACCAAATAAAAAAAATAAAATAAATACAAATAAAATTTAAAATAAATTAAAAATAAGTTTTAAAAAAAATTTAAAAAAATGAAAAACTAAATAAAAAAATCCACGTGTCCGCCAGGTCAGCGACACTTGGCGGACAAGTGGATTTATTTTTTTTCATTTTTTTATTTTTTTAATTGGACCAAATAAAATAAATACAAATAATATTTAAAATAAATTAAAAATAAGTTTTAAAAAAAATTAAAAATGAAAAACTAAATAAAAAAATCCACGTGTCCGCCAGGTCAGCGACACTTGGCGGACACGTGGATTTTTTTTTTTCATTTTTTTATTTTTTAATTGGACCAAATAAAAAAAATAAAATAAATACAAATAATATTTAAAATAAATTAAAAATAAGTTTTAAAAAAAAAATTTAAAAATGAAAAACTAAATAAAAAATCCACGTGTCCGCTAGGTCAGCGACACTTGGCGGACACGTGGATTTATTTTTTTTCATTTTTTTATTTTTTAATTAGACCAAATAAAAAAAATAAAATAAATACAAATAATATTTAAAATAAATTAAAAATAAGTTTTAAAAAAAAATAATTTAAAAAATGAAAAACTAAATAAAAAAATCCACGTGTCCGCCAGGTCAGCGACACTTGGCGGACACGTGGATTTATTTTTTTTTTCATTTTTTTATTTTTTAATTGAACCAAATAAAAAAAATAAAATAAATACAAATAATATTTAAAATAAATTAAAAATAAGTTTTAAAAAAAATTTAAAAAATGAAAAACTAAATAAAAAAATTCACGTGTCCGCCAGGTTAGCAACACCTGGCGGACACATCACCTCCGGCGCCGGAGGACTAAAACAGCGAAATTTTTTTACTTATGGGATTAGTTTGCGACAGGCTCCACTTACGGGACTAAAATGATAAGGGGTCCAGTTATGGGACTAAAAAAACAGTTTACCCTACTATAATATATAATATATAGAAAATACCAATAAGATTTATTTCCGTAACTTGTTAGAGTTTAATGAATATGGTAACACTCTTAATTAATTCATTAGTTAAAATTACTTCAAATAAATTTTCTTCTAAGAAGTTATAGAAATCAATTTATGATTTGAACTTTTTTATTAATAACTATTGGATTAACTATTAAAAATGATTCGAAGGTTACCAATAAATCAGGTCCATACTGATGCATTTTCAACACCAGCACTCAGTTTACAATCCCAAATAAAAAACAAGACATATATATATATAGATACGAACGAGCTTCGGCAGATGATCACTATACTGTTTTCATCTTCTTGCAACTGTAATATATATATATATATATAATTAAGCAGCTCAGAGACTGTTTATTAATAACGTTCAATATCGAAAGTATCGTATATGTAGTAAAAACACATCACCTTGATAAGCAACGGTTCTTTATGAGGAAAACAAAGGAAAAGATCCCGAAACACGGAAAAAGCAGCAACCCCATGGCCACATAGCTGCAAAAATATCAATAAAATTGTAAGTATATAAATATATATAGTGTAAATGACATAAAATATTCACCTGCGTTTAATTATAAATATATAAAATACTCCGTGTTTTATTTATTGTATGAAATTCTCTATTATATTAAACTAAGCACGATACACCTTTTTCATCCCAGCATTGATGTTGTTAATAATTACATGCCTAATTATGCAAGTATTATGTGTGAAATGTTTTACATATCATTCTTTGAATAAAATGAATAAAGAAAAACTTGATTAACTCTCATTTTCACATTTGTAAAATGAAGACGAACCGTAACTTAATTTTTATAAACTGTAGAATGAAGTGCTAATTAATTTTTTCTCTACTTATTTTATTCAAATAGTGATATTTAAAACATTTCACCTCAATTATTTGCGTAACACTTACATAATTAGATTGTATTACGAAAATGTCATTATTTGGATGGAGACGATGTTTGATGTTTATTTTAATATAGCAAAATGAATTTCATGTAATAAATAAAACACAAGATATTTTATGAATTTATAATAGAACACAAGTGGATATTATGCAATTTACTCATATATATATATATATATATCGACCCATTTAATTAATTTTTGAGAATAAATTCATGGACAGAGAGTTTAAGTACATACCAAAAGGGAGCATATGGTGATGACAAGTCCATAAAATCATATGGCCAGCTGCTGAATTTAAAAGAAAATTTCCAGAACATGAAAGGATTAATGAATCTTGTTGCTGCTAGCTAGCTAATTGCTAGCTGTTCATTAATTTTCTGCTTTTATTTATGAACCAGAAAATATTCGAAAAGAAACCTACCTCACTGATGAACAAGCATGGATGATCCATTCGATAATCACACATACAGCCGTAAACAGAATAAAGTAGGCTACGCGGAAGAATGGAAATCGCTGGATATATACACATATATTGTCGATGATGATGATGATAATAATGATAATGATGTTTTGATTTCGTAAGTTAATTTAAATTCGTGTAGTAGAAAGAAAACGAATGAATTACCAGGCGATTTAAAATTGCGTCACCGAGGAGAAGAACAGCATTGACAGAATGCATACACACTGCCAGCTGCAACCGATCATATATAGTTTATAAACCATATTCTTCAACTCAAATAAATATACAAATTTGAAGGGAAAGTTAGTTTGTTATACTTACAAAGGTTAAATTTTGAATGTTTCTTGCAACAAGAAATGGGTAAATTATCAACCAGTAGACGAGATCGGTGAGCACTACAGCTCCAGCACACATCTACGCTAGAAGTTAAAAGAGACCATGAGAAACTAAGAACATCCGCAATGAAGATAGTCATTATTGAATATCTCTAACTATTTTTTTATCTTTCAAGTTATTTTTACTCTCTGTCACGCTAGATGAGATATTCTTTTAATTTTATATCCATAATAAAAAAATTAATCTCAATTTTTTTTATTTTTACATCATTATATATATGTATTATTTTTTTAAAAAAAAACTTATAATATTTTATCAATTTTATAATTAATAAATAATAAATTAATATTAACATTTGATTTGTTACTAATTTTATTAAATAATTTTTAAAATTTTAAATGGTAAAAAGTTATTCAATATTGGTTTATAGAATATAAAATTTTATAAATTATAAAAATATTACAAAATTAAAATATAATAATATATTTAAATAAAATTACAAAAAACTATATATATATATATATGTTATTATTATACATATATTATGCGATCCAATTAAAATGAAACACATGCAAAAAAGTACATATTCTACCATTTTTTTTCTTTTATTGTTTTGTTTTCGCATTTATTTTGATATTATATCTCAATTTATAAGGTTTTTAATTCTTTTTTGGATAAAAATATTATTAAGGTGTTAATATTTCATATTGGATGTAATGTTGGGATTCCCCTACGTTACAAGGGATGAAGGGTTACTCCACTTACAACCAATTGGTTTTAAGTTGGAACCCGAATCCCAATCTTAACATAGTATCAGAGTTATTATTATTATTATCAATTTTAGATTTTTCACATAAATCACACATTCTTTTCTTCGTCTCCAATATTTTTATGCGTCAGTTTTTTAATTTGCCTCTGCATTTTCGACATACTTTTTAGGTGTAAAAACTGTAACAATATAATTTAATGAAACTCCAGTGCAGCTGGAGCATTTAGATTCAAGCATGCTCAATGAATATATATATATATATATATATATATTACCTGAAAAAGTATTTGAAAGGCATATCCCCAGCCTGATGCAGACATTCTGCAATTAGATGATGATTCATTTGCAAGCTCATATTTTTTCAGTTCCAGTTTAGGGTGAGAATAATAATGTAGCCAGCCATGAATAGAGAGGGAAGAACCAAGCTACCAAAATCCAACATAAAAAATATCTCAGTAAATATATATATATATAATTAGTTTTATCAAACTAATTATGCTTATAATCTAAGAAAACTTAGTGACATCACATTCACATACCCCAAAATAAATGGTCACCAAGGCAAATGTCCACCTGATTAGAAAGGAAAGAGTAATAAAACTCATGGTATGAAATCTCAATAATGCAGATGTATATATATATATATATATATATATATGGCCAAATAACCAAATTTGCAGATCAAATATATATCCAATCTAATTTTATTGATAAAATGAAAACTTAAAACTGAATATGAAGAGGAACAACTAAATATTATAGGTTTAAGAACCCCAAAGCCCAACAAAATAAACCTAAAAACAAAAAAAGTCGAAACGTAGTTTTATAGCCCTAAACGACCTCCAATGGACAAAAAACATAGGGGCCAAATCACACTGCTAGTGCGACGAGTTTGGTTTATTTCGTCATTTCGGATCAGGCATGCGAACTTCATCCAATTTTGAAATAAGACCCACACTACAAGAAAATTACATATTTGTAACAAAAAATTTTGTCCCTAAATTTATTTTTTCTATAACTAATGACATTAGGGACGAGATTAAGGATGAATTACATTAGCTACATGAACTTTAGGGACGGAATTTTCGTTACAAATATATTACTCCCTCCGTATGTAAGAGATTTTGATATTTTTGTCATTTCACTTTTTGTATAAAGCTACTGTATCTATAATCATATATTTGTAATTTAAGTAAAATTTAAAATATATTTTACAATTAATGTATGATTACTTTTTCTAAAATAAGAAATAATACTTTGAAGTAGGACAGACTAAAATCGTACAAATGATACTCTAAGTTGCGATGGAGAAAGTATTTTTTTGCCGTGACGTAAAGAGGAAAAAGTCACCAGCGAATTGCGTCACTAGCTAGTATGAAATTAGATATCTTACTATTTGGTATATTTCTTTTGCAAAGTTTCCCCAAATTTTACTATTTGGACTCTGCTTTTCTTAAAAAAATATATTTTTTCCTCTCACAAAATATCCTATCAAATATTATTTTCATATCAAATTCAAATCAAAATTTTTCCAAACAAACACACCCTACTTACTGGGTATAATAATTAAAATTTTGAGCACGAGAAGCAATGGCATCAGCAAGAAGCAATGCAAGCAGTATAACGAAGGCGACAAGCCTGTAGCCGAGCAGCCAAATAGGAGCTACAGATCTCGAACACGTTCCCCAAACTTCATCCTCGTACACACATCCTGGCCCGTTACGGTTTCTGTCGCCTTCATATCTCCATATTAGAACTGCACTTAAGGCCATACCCAATAGGACCCATATTGCACACGCCAAAACTCTCCAGTTCAACCAATAACTTATTATTATTGTATCAGTAGTTTCCATGGAAGAAATGCCATTTAATGACAGTTCTGTAAGTAAGAACATATAATTTAATTAATCACACTTGGTAGCTAGCTAGCTAGCTATTTCAAACATACCGAGTTCATGCTAGGCAACATCAAACCAAACCAAAAGAAAACAAAAGTATATATGTAGAACACAGCAAATTTAATTACTATATATATATCCAATTATGCAAATTTAAAAAATGTTGAGGAGATGGAAAAGAGGTAGCTTGTGACCTGGAATTAGACTGGCCATTGCTTCAAACGGGTAAGGAAGTAACTTAATTTGTCTCAGGAAGTGGAGGATGGATGACTAGTTGTGGTCTGATAGGAGGATGAAGTTGAACAAGTAAGTAGCGGAGTGAAGATGTAAGATCAGATCAGCAGATCTTGATCTTGGGGTTCAGTTGAGTGTTTAATTTGTGTAATGGTTGATCAGGATGTGGTTGAGCAATGGGACCAGACCAGGGGTATTTAAGGAGTGTCTGATGGGTAGCTCAGAAGTAGTTGGTTAGTTTGGATATGATAAACAAATAGTATTAGTATTAAATGATGTAGGATCATAGTTTGGATATGATCAAGAAATAGTATTAGTATTAAATGATGTAGGATCATGATCAGTTTGGGATTGGGATTGGGATTGGGATTGGCAAGAAATTAGCTTATTGTCATCAAAGACAACATTGATCCTCGGCATGAGACACTTCCTACTTTCCACCTCATAGAGAGGCAAGCAGTAGCGGATCAGCTGTTGAATAATATACTTCAAATATTTTAAATAATTAATGATATTAATATTATAAATATATTAAATAATTATTTAAATAAATAGTGATTATTATTTTTTCATCATTTGAATTAATACATTGTGATAAATTTTAATATTCCTATTTTTTGTATTAATGTTGAACTTTTGAATTTAGAAAATAGTATACGTTTCAGTTCTTTTTCTTCCTTGTAGCCTATGAAAAACCGATTGAGTTTACAAAGCTTTCCCCCAAAAAATTCTTGTATCAGAGCTACGGAATTTGTGGTTGGCAAGAGGCGCAGATCGGAGAAGGACACCAGCAGTCCATTGAAGCAGGGGATTCGATAATGTGATTGAGAAACAATTAGTGAATTGCATTCATAGCCAACAATTAATTCGAATTCTCAGGTTTCAATTCCAATGTTTAAAGGGGAAAATGATCAGTTTTGGAATTTAAAATTGAAAACCTTGTTTAAATCTCAAGAACTTTAGGATATGGTAGAAACAGGGTTCGTCGATGATAGATCTGAACCGCCCACGCAGCAAGTAAGAGATAACCTAAAGAAGGATGCCAAGGCGTATATTCAACATGCTCTTGATGATAGTATTTTCTCCAGAATTAGAGTGCTGATACGTCAAAGCAAGCATGGGATATCCTCAAACAAGAGTATTTGGGGGATGAGAATATTATTACAATAAAATTGCAAACCTTGTACCATGATTTTGAGTTGTTATCAATGAGATAAAAAGAATTTGTGCAAGATTATCTCTCAAGGGTGTTTGTGCTTGATAATCTTATGAAGTCGTCTGGTGATGGAATAAATAATAATACAGTGGTCAACAAAGTTTTGAGAAGTTTAACCTCAAAATTTTATCATGTTGCTCTGGTTATTGAAGAGACAAAGGACTTATCTACTTACACTTTCGATGAGTTGATGGGTACCTTATTGAGTCATGAGGATCGGTTGAATAGATCTATTGAAAAAACGGAATAAAAGACTTTTCAAATGAAAGGGGAGCTTCAATCTAAGGGCAAGGCAGATTCTACTTCTTCGAAGAGGCCGTATAACACAACAAGTAGAGGCCAAGGAAGAGGTGGTTATCGTGGTCGAGGCAGATGATGCAATTATTTTTATAGAGAATGCCATTATTGCAAGAAATATGGGCATAAGAAGGTTGATTGCAGGTCTAAACACAAGGAAAAACAGAAGGATGACCAGAAGCGTGCAAACTTCACCACACACATGAGGAAGAGAGTAACCTATTCATGACTCATTCCGCTATGAATAATGTAACCAATTATGTTTGGTTAATTGATAGTGAATATTCTAATCATATGTGTGGTGAAATAGCATTGTTTAAAGATCTGGACGAGACATAAAAATTAGAAGTACATCTTGGTAATGAAAAGCCAATCAAGGTTGAGGGTAGAGGTACGGTTGCGATTAGAACCATGGAAGGCAATACAAAATTGATTCGTGAGGTACAATATGTTCCATCACTTGCTAATAATTTACTAAGTGTTGGATAGCTATTGAAGAGTTATTATTTGGTTCTATTTAATGATTAATCTTGTGACATTACTAAGAACATGACAAGTAGAAAGCTTTTAAGTGTTAAGATGACATCGAACATGATGTTCCCTCTGGATGTGAAGCTTGGTTGTGCTTTTGTCGCTAATAATGATACAAAAGCTAAAATTTGGCATAAAAAATATGGTCACTTAAATCTTAAAGGGTTGCAGCTGCGTGTGAAGAAATGCATGGTTCTTGGGATGCCTAAACTTGATCGTCTCAATTTTTGTGAAGGGTGCGTTTATGGAAAACAGAGCAAGCCTTCATTTCCGGTGGGAAAAGCATGAAGGGAATCATCTTGTCTTGAGCTCATTCATTTGGATTTGTGCGGACCTATATCTATGGAGTCTCTTGGAGAGGGTCAATATTTTTTGCTATTTGTGGATGACTTCACTCGGATGTGATGGGTCTATTTCTTGAAAATTAAATCAGAGGCATTCGAAAATTTCAAAAAATTCAAGGCATTGGTGGAGAAATAAAATGGGTCCAAATTAAAACACTTCGGACTGATTTAGGTGGTGAATTCATTTCACGTGAGTTCAATGAGTTTTGTGAAAAAAATAGAATCCATAGAGAGCTGACAACACTTTACACGTCACAACAAAATGGTGTAGCTGAACGTAAAAATTGCACCATTTTTGAGATGGACAGAAGCATGATGATTGCAAAGGGTGTTCCAAAAAAAATATGGGCTGAAGCAATAGCTATGGCCCTCTATATTTTGAATATTTATCCGAAGAAAGCTGTTTATAGTTAGACCCCATATGAGGAATGAAATGGTCACAAACCGAAGGTAAGCCACTTACGAACCTTTGGTTGCATATCATATGCTTTGACAAAATCTCGTTCAAAGCTTGATGAACAATCGGAAAAATGTGTCTTGTTGGGTTATAGTGTTCAATTCAAGGCATATACAACTATATAACCCAATAAGTGACAAGGTGATTATAAGTCGGGATGTCCAATTCAATGAAAATAAAGGCTGGACTTGGGGAGGAAGTGAAGATGTTGGAGCAACAATGTTAGTGGATGGGATATTTACTCACTCTCATGAGACTGCGATACAAGCTGAAGGTGAAAATTTAGGAGGCTTTGCAGATTGTTTGTTGGATTCCTCATATTCGAGTCAAAGTAGCAACGTAAATCTTCCTCGTTCTACTTATGAGCACACTCCAAAAAAATTTAAATGTGTGGCAAAAGTTTGTGGAAGCTGCAGCTTTGCATTGTACATATTAAAACTTACATGTTTCGAAGATGTTGTTGGAAATGAAGAATGGCAAGCTGCAATGGTATAAGAAATGAAGGTGATTGAGGGCAATCAGATATGGAACTTGGTTGAACCTTCCGAAGACAAAACTCAAATAGGTCTCAAGTGGGTATTCAAGGTCAAGTATCATGCTGGGGGTACAGTGAATAAGTACAAAAGGAGGCTGGTTGCAAAAGGTTATGCACAACACAAATGTGTTGATTTTGATGAAACTTACTCACCCGTGGCTCGCTTTGAGACTGTAAGAATTTTTCTTTGTCTTGCTGCACATTTACAACTTTCAGTTTATCAATTTGATGTTAAATTTGTATTTTTAAATGAAGATTTAGAAGAAGAAGTGTATGTCTCGCAACCTGAGGATATTGTGGTTCAGGGCAAAGAACGCAAAGTTTTTAAGCTAAAAAGACATTATACAGGCTTAAACAAGCATCACAGGCATGCTATAAAAGAATTGAATCATACCTTCTAAAGAGTGGATTTGTGAAAAGTGAAGGTTAGCCAACATTATATGCAAAGAGAAATGACAAAGGAGAGTTTCTACTTGTTTGCATTTATGTGGATGACATTATATATTTGGGATCAAGTGAAACCTTAGGTTTTTATTTCAAGATGTGTATGACGAGAGAGTTGAATATGTCGGACTTGGGAATGTTTAGTTATTTTCTCAAACTTGAAGTAAAGCAAGCTGAAGATGGCATATTTCTCTCACATAATAAACATGTTAATGATCTTTTTACTCAAGTTTGGCATGCACAATTGCAAAGCAGAAACTACACCGATGAATACTAATGAGAAGTTGCAGCTGGAAGATGGAACCAAAGCAGCTGATCCAAGCTATTTTCGAAGGCTAATAGGTGGACTAAATTATCTAACACATACTCGTCCTGAGATTATATATTCTGTGAATTTTCTATCTAGGTACATGCAAATCCTCTTGTGCAACATCCAGGAGTAGTAAAAAGAGTGTTTCGCTACATAGCTGGAACCTTGATAACTTTTGATTTTGCCATATTTTATAACTTATATTTATTTAATTATTTATTTATTTATGTCGAATTTTGGTATTATTTATGTTAATTTATTCTAATAATTGTATTCATTTCATCTTGTTTGTATAATATTAATTTATTAGTTTTTTAAATGTAATTTATAATTATTTTGGTGTATAAATTAAATTAATTGATGTGTTTCTCGAATTATATTTTTAGGCATTATTTATGTGTTATTTAAGTATTTAATTTTGGCTAAATTAATTTTTTTAATAAGTATTATTTATTTATAAGGTGTTTATTATTTATATAGGTGAAATAATGCTTGAAAACTAATATGGGAGTCCAAACTTGGTCTTAAAAAGCAAAAAGAATGGCTTTAGAAGCGAAAAATTAGTCACCGGTGCGAAAATAAAAAACGTCAACAGTCAACGCGCGAACGTCAAAGTCAACTGCTGCACGGAAGGCAAGTGTCGGCTGGCACGGAAAGTGAGCGGCAGCTGCATAGGAGTGCGCGAGCGCGGAAGGCAAGCTGCGGCTGGCACGGAAAGTGAGTGGCGGCTACATAGGAGTGCGCAGGCGCGGAAGGCAAGCGGCAGCTTGCGCGGAAAGTGAGCGGTGGCTGCATAGGAGTGCGCGAGTGTGGAAAGCAAGCGGCGGCTTGCGCGGAAAGTGAGCGGCGGCTGCATAGGAGTACGCGAGCGCAGAAGGCAAGCGACGGCTGCGCGGAAACTTTGGCTTTGAAGTGAGCGAAGCGATGCCGGCCGTGCGGAAAGCGATGGCGGCTACACGGAAATTTGAGCGAAGCGGAATTCTATGTCCATTAATCCATGAGCGGCGGCTACAATTATAAGC